CTTTGCCGATTTTGGGACAGGGGGAGGGGACCGAAAGCGATCATTCAATATGCTTACCCAAGGCATCTAAGGTGACATAGCTCCACCCTGCGCGCTGGTGGGGGGTACAAATTCACCGTGCAAGAGAGATGGTCTGGATGTTCGCCCTCATGCCGAACCTTGTGCGAGACTGGCAGAACATCCACGAGTCCGACTGGTTCCTTAGAGATACCTCGGGCCCAGAGGAATTCGAAGCCTGGGAACGCGTTCGCTCGTTCGCTGCTCGCTGCTCGCTGCTGCACGTGTTTACCACCAACACGCCTGCGCTGCGCGTCACGCGCGCTGCAGACATACGTGCGTTGGAAGTCTATTCCTACAGCATTCACGCCTGGTACTGATCGGTAGTCGCTCGACCAGCCTTAATTATTCTCTGTTGTGGCCACGTGCCGCTGCGAACAGGATTATAACACGCGTGCGGTGCTCAGCTGTCCACTTCTCTGACAGGGGTCTGCGACTCAGCATTCTGGTCGGCTCCAGAAATACCGGCCTAGAGACATTCACCACGGGGCCCCATCGCGCAATCCAGCCATTATGTAGTCCAGAGTGCGTGGCCTGACAGGCGAGGGAGCGGAGGTAGTGTAGGTCTATCTGTGAGAACTCGTGCACCTCGGTCCCGCACGTGATGGTAGCAGGACTCTGGGTGCTCCATCCGAGGCGGATTACAGTGGCAATGAACGCGCCTGCTGACCCCCTCACAAGACCCCACGGCCTCGGACGCCCATGAAATCGCATGACCCACGAGCGCCAGGCCGCCACCAGGAGGTCGCGCATCGCTATGTCCGTCGAATCCTGCCACGCCCTGGCCCACTCCACGATGGGCCCCGCGTTGGCGAGCACGGCGGGGTCGGCGTCCTCCGCCAACAGCACCAGCGCAGCTGGGGAAGGCCGCCGCGACCGACTGCTTCAGCTTGGGGATCAGCGTGTCAGGGGCGCCCATGGACGCGCGTTCCGTAGAGCTCCGACGTCGCGATCCCGAGCTTGACCGCCTTCTCTGCTGCGCTTTCTGCAGCCTTGGCCCGCTGGATCTTCCAGCTCCTGGCCATGGCCTTCATGATCCACTTGGACTGGGCTCCGACACGGCGCCGCCGCGCAGCTGTCTGGGTCACGCCCGCATGCGCGGCCGCGCGCACCACCTGGATGCCCATCCGCTTTCTCTGGCTGTCAAGCTGCTGCTCCACGCTGTCATGGGGGGCCGCGACGACAGTCTTGCCATCCTTGCCCCTCGAGACCTGCAGCATGAGCACCTGCTCGAAGGCGTAGATGATCTCGTCGGTCAGCTTCGGCGTGGATCGCCGCCACGGTGGTCGCGTCGCCTCGTGCCGACGCTGCAAGGTCGTCGAAGCAGAGGCGCATGTCCGCGCTCGGGTTGCCGACGTAGAGGTCGTCGATGGCGCCGATGAGAACGAGTGACAGACGCAGCGGACCGAACGCGGATGCTGCCACGATCCCCTGCGCCCAGACATCGCCTTCGGTCGAACACCCAATCAGCGCCACTGTTTTCATCGAAGAAAGCACTCGCAAGATGACCCTTAGCATAGGCTTTGGAAATCCCCATCGTAAGGCATCACGCCCGCAAGTCGTAGTAGTTGGTGGCGGTGGCCTCGCCCTGCGCCAAGGACCCTTCTGCCGTAGGGCCCTGCGTCCAGTTCGTGCGTTCGGCCGATCTGCCTTTCACGGCCCAATCATTTTGGATCTCGGAGCGTCGGTTTTCTTCCTTGCTCGCACCAATTGAGGCATCAGCCCCGAGTTTCTCATGCTGCCCTCGGGCTTGGGCTGCCGCCAGAAGGTGATGCGCTGCTGCGAGACGGGCCAGTCAGGGCCGCGCTCGATAGCAGCTCAGGATGCTGGCCAGGCCAGCCAGGCCCACAGCAGGTCCATGGGCCCAAAACCTGGGGTGGATGTTGGATTCGCCCGGGCCCGTCTTGGTTGAGAACGCCTCGCAGGAGTGCAGCGCGTGGTGGCCGAGGCTCGGTGGCTTCGCGGGCTCGCCCACCGCGGGCGGCTCGAACCATGGCGCTGCCCGATCGACCTTGTGATGCCGTGCGCTCTCCCACTCCTGTGGCGCTGTGTTGGCGGTCGTCTGTCTGCGGGTCCTTCAGGGCGACGTGCTTGGACGTCTCGCCCGCGGGGGCCGCCCCTGAAGGCTCGCCGGAGAACTTGAAGCCAAGAAGTCTGAACCATCCCTTTCTCTTTTTCAAGATGGGCCGTGTGCAGCTCGAGGCCTGTCGACTGGGCGCTCGCCTTCGGGGATGCCCTGGGCCCCCGCAGGACGTTCGGCTCGGTCCACGTGTACAGGGGCCCTCGCGGACTTCTCGCTGCGATTGCAAACCCAGGCCCGCCAGGACTTGGTGAGCTCCTTGAGCTCGCGCTGCCTCGCCTCGTCCGCCTCGCCAGCCGCGACCTGCTGCCAATGCTGGAGGTAATCTGGGTGTTCCAGCAGCTTCTGCGGCTCCTCCATGCA